CAGCATGGGACTTGTTATGCTACTTTCTCCACTGAGGGCTCATTAATCACGTGGCTGGTGTAAATATGAATCCCAACCCTCTACTACAAATTCTGAAGCGAACTCTCCCTAACCTCCCACACACGCCTGAGCGCTGGACCAAAACATAAGCTTTTATCTCCCGGGCCAGTGATTAGAATTTTTAAGTTTACACTTTCACTGAAGATATATCCCAGGAAGAGGGGTCCTGACTTTATTTGGGATTCTCACGTCCAACACCCTGTGCTTTGAAGTTCCAAAACGTTGGCCTGATCCCCATTAAAACTAAATATATTTGCTTGCGGAGACTGACAGACTCTCTCCAGCTTCCCTCTGCACCCCCACCTCCCCCAAGATTAGGGCTGCTGCAGTAGCTTCTCACATACACTGCCTGGTTTGTGAGCATTTACCTTATTCTCATGAAAGTCAGCTGTGCAGGTAGAGGGTGTTTGTTTTATCTAGCATTTCTAGTTGTGTGTTTTTTAATCCCCACCCGAGGATATTCTTTTCATCGATTTTTAGAGAGAGTGGAAGGGTGTGAGGAGGGGGGAGAGAGAGCAAAACATCGACTGGAGAGAGAGACATGCACTTGTCGCCTCCCAGCCTGACTGGGGTTGGGGATCGAACCTGTGACCCTTCAGTTCTTGGGCCAGTGAGCAAAACCATCCAGGGCTCTAGTTTATAGTGGAGGAACTTGCCAGAAACAGGACTCAGGGGACATTGTACTTACCTTTCCCTTCTTTTCCATACCAGTACTTAGAAATGAGGTCTTAAGATTATCCATGGAGACAGGTCCCAGGGCCTGAAACATAGCTCTTTCTGCACCCCTAACTGTCTCTAGGTAAAGCTCAGTTCCCAAGGTTCGGTTGGGTACATGTGCACTATCGTTCTTCTGTACACCTTATTTTCCATTTTATCTTTGTTTATTAATAGGTCAAGAACCTAACTCAAAGACTATATTAAATAAAATAGGAGATGAGATCCTGGTAATAAATGAACTTCTAAATAAATTGGAGTTAGAAATTCAATTTCAAGAACAAACTACCGATTCACTCAAGGTAATGCTTTTCCTTATTTTTTAAAAATCTTTACTGTTGAAAGTATTACACATGTCTCCCCCCCACCCCGCCACTCCCACCCCAGGCCTTCACCACCCTATTGTCTGTGTCCATGGGTTATGCATATATGCATACAAGTTCTTTGGTAATGTTTTTCTAGCGGAGCAACAAAATAAAAAGGCAATAAGTACAAATTTCTTAATCACCAGGAATTCTTAAGGCTTCTGTAAGTTTATAAAGTCCTTAGCTTTGTAAATTATTACTGGTATAGCTTTTTTTTTTTTGCATTTTATTTTCGCAGTATAAAGCACTCCAGAGCTTCACAGGTATTTCTTTTTTCATGTTGGTACCAATGGAATTGAACATTACTAAAAAGGAAGGTTTCCTAAATAATTCTTGGTAGGTTTAATTTAAACAAATGATGTCCTGGTAGGCTGAGATGGAAGGCGTACCTGCCCTGGGAAGAGATGTGGATTCTTACCCTCCCTGCCCTTAGCACCTTCTGCCACCCTGAGAAAGCTATTTTACCTCTTGGGATCTCTGGTCCTCATTTGGAAAATAATGGGTCATGCTGAACTATTTTTTTTTTTTAATATGTTTTTATTGATTTTAGAGAGATTTTAGGAGAGGAAGGGAGAGAGAAATATTGACGGCTGCCTCCTGCATGCCCCCTACTAGGGGTCAAGCCTGCAACCCGGGCATGTGCCCTTGACCAGGAATGGAACCAGCAACCTCTTGGTGCATTGGATGACACTCAACCAACTGAGACACACCAACCAGGGCAACTCTTTTTTTATAAAAAAAATATATTTTTATTGATTTCAGAGAGGAAGGGAGAGGGAGAGAGAGAAAGAAACATCAATGATGAAAGAAAATCATTGATTGGCTCCCTCCTACACACCCCCAACTGGGGCTGCAGCCGGCAACCCAGGCATGTGCCCTTGACCAGAATCAAACCTAGAACCCTTCAGTCCACAGGCCAGTGCTCTATCCACTGAACCACACCGACCAGGACGGCTCTTTTTTTTTTTTTTTTTTTTAATATTGCTTGCATTCAGTGCTTTTTCACCCCTTCTGTGTTCTGAAAACTCACAATTATTGTGATTGTGTACCATGGTCTTTCATGCTCTTTACAACATCTTCATACACACACAGGCAGGACAGACACTTATTCGTGAGCATTTTTTGGATTTTAGGAACTCTGTGCATCTCTTGAAGAAGATTATAAAGATGTGGAGCATCTCAAAGAAAACATTCCTCCCCATTTGCCTCAAGTAACAGTGACCCAGAACTCGTAAGTGTATTCATAATTATTCTTGCCATCTGTATTTATAAAACTACTAGAGGCCCGGTGCATGAATATCGTACATGGGTAGGGTCCTTAGGCCTGGCTGGCATCAGGGCCGATCGGGCCTTCCAGCTGCCAGCCAGGGCCTCCCTTCCCCGGCTGCCGGCTCTCGGC